GGGTCGCGGTTTCACGCCTCCAATTCAGTTCCAAATTGTGCTGCGGGAGCTGGTCCATTTCGCGGCACCACTTTGGGCAGCGTCGCGCTGAGCGCACGGGAGCTTGTCCGAAGCAGCTGCACACTCGTCTTTGTAATGCTGCAGTGAGGCAGAACTGCAACTGTGGAGGCCCGTCCTCGCGAAGCCAGAATTGCTTGTGTTTTGCGGCCCTGAAAGCGGGGTCGCCCGACTTCCCCGGAACTTGGGCTTCGTCCTGGCAATTCTGCTGGTCCGCCAGTTGAGCTGCAGGTCTTTGTCGGTGCCCTTCAAGCTCGGGAAGTTGACCAACGTGGCTCAACGTTTTCTGCTGTTGCGCAGAGTCGTCTGCTGGACATTGCAGAATGAAAGCTTTTGGCAGGCTTGGGCTTTGAACAGCGAGGATACCTACTGTACAGGAACGGCTTGTGCTCCTAGCGAATCAGCTGTTGCCGAGCACCCTCATTGGGGTTCTAACAATGGTCAGGTTGTGGGGCTGGTGAACGGATGCCACAAGTGCATTCGCGCATGCTTGGACATATTTTGGCGCTGTCTCCAATCTCAGTTTTTGCGGCAGTTAACGCGCCGTTGATGGGTCAGACCTGTCTATACAGCATTTTGAATTTATAGCACCATCGACCCTGGTCTTTGCCAGAGCCAAACAGACGTATGTTTTGGAGCAGCAAGTGCTTGCGTGTGAGAGAGTGACAGAGTGTCTGTGAGTGTGTGAGGATGAGAGTGAGAGCGAGAGCGAGAGCGAGAGTGAGAGTGAGAGTGAGAATGAAAGTGAGAGTGAGAGTGAAAGTGAGAGTGAAAGTGAGAGTGAGAGTGAAAGTGAGAGTGAAAGTGAGAGTGAGAGTGAGAGTGAGAGTGAGGAAGAGTGAGGAAGCGAGGACGACGGAGTGAGAGAAAGTGATGCAGTGACGGGCAGCGGAGGAGTGGTGAAGCCATGGGACCCCACGTGATTTCTATGTCTGCCAACTTTTCTTCGGCGCCTAACAGAGCATAGGTCGTGTTTGAACACTTGTAACAATGTTCAGTTTAGAAGATAAGCGACTTGGGAAAAAACCTGGATTAAAATTCTGGTCGGTCTTCGGATCTGGCCTCATTACCCTACGTCTGCTGTGCGTGGGGACCCTTTCAATAGTATTATAGGGTCCCGAGTCCCCATGGCCACAAATGCATTTTTCCGGGGAAAAATACGCCGTGAGGCCACATCAGGCCACAACAGGCCACAAACGTGTGTTTTTGAGGCCACGTCAGGCCACAACAGGCCACAAACGTGTGGTTTTCAGGCCACGTCAGGCCACAACAGGCCACAAACGTGTCGCAACAAAGCAAGACCGTGTGGGTTTGAGGCCACATCAGGCCAACTTGTTTGGTTTCGAGATTGTTTTTTGGGGCTTGATTTTCAGCAAGTCCTAGGAGACCAAGTCGTTCCTGTACTGTACACATGTTTGCCAGTTTACGCGACTCCAAATCTGGGGTCGAAAAATCTAGGCAATTCTGGCTTCGCGTGTGTGGGCCTCCCCTGTGCACGTTTCTTTCATGTTGATCGCTTCCACAAGAAAGCTGCCCTCGGAGGTCGTGGTTCTCAGTAATTGATCTTTCCACGTTAAGTGCTTGTCTGTGGGCCAGAGTCGCCTGAGTGTAGCAGTCTGGAAAGCGCGGGATTGAGCCCAAAAATAGAAGAATTCGCGACCCCAAAACTGGGGTCGCCAAACGGCCCCAATTTTGGGGTCGCGGTTTCACGCCTCCAATTCAGTTCCAAATTGTGCTGCGGGAGCTGGTCCATTTCGCGGCACCATTTTTGGGACCGCGAGACGGCCCCATTTTTTGGCACCGAATTTGAGCCTGTGGGCTCAAGCAACCGGATCTCGTTGGCTGCGCACCTGCCCTTGTTCTAGTCAGTTTGGGCAGCGTCGCGCTGAGCGCACGGGGGCTTGTCCGAAGCAGCTGCACACTCGTCTTTGTAATGCTGCAGTGAGGCAGAACTGCAACTGTGCACGTTTCTTTCATGTTGATCGCTTCCACAAGAAAGCTGCCCTCGGAGGTCGTGGTTCTCAGTAATTGATCTTTCCACGTTAAGTGCTTGTCTGTGGGCCAGAGTCGCCTGAGTGTAGCAGTCTGGAAAGCGCGGGATTGAGCCCAAAAATAGAAGAATTCGCGACCCCAAAACTGGGGTCGCCAAACGGCCCCAATTTTGGGGTCGCGGTTTCACGCCCCCAATTCAGTTCGAAATTGTGCTGCGGGAGCTGGGTCCATTTCGCCGGCACCATTTTTGGGACCGCGAGACGGCCCCATTTTTTGGCACCGAATTTGAGCCTGTGGGCTCAAGCAACCGGATCTCGTTGGCTGCGCACCTGCCCTTGTTCTAGTCACTTTGGGCAGCGTCGTGCTGAGCGCACGGGGGCTTGTCCGAAGCAGCTGCACACTCGTCTTTGTAATGCTGCAGTGAGGCAGAACTGCAACTGTGGACGCCCGTCCTCGCGAAGCCAGAATTGCTTGTGTTTTGCGGCCCTGAAAGCGGGGTCGCCCGACTTCCCCGGAACTTGGGCTTCGTCCTGGCAATTCTGCTGGTCCGCCAGTTGAGCTGCAGGTCTTTGTCGGTGTTTTCTGTGGATAGGAGGCCCTTCAACCTCGGGAAGTTGACCAACGTGGCTCAACGTTTTCTGCTGTTGCGCAGAGTCGTCTGCCGGACATTGCAGAATGAAAGCTTTTGGCAGGCTTGGGCTTTGAACAGCGAGGATACCTACTGTACAGGAACGTCTTGTGCTCCTAGCGAATCAGCTGTTGCCGAGCACCCTCATTGGGGTTCTAACAATGGTCAGGTTGTGGGGCTGGTGAACGGATGCCACAAGTGCATTCGCGCATGCTTGGACATATTTGCTGTCTCCAATCTCAGTTTTTGCGGCAGTTAACGCGCCGTTGATGGGTCAGACCTGTCTATACAGCATTTTGAATTTATAGCACCATCGACCCTGGTCTTTGCCAGAGCCAAACAGACGTATGTTTTGGAGCAGCAAGTGCTTGCGTGTGAGAGAGTGACAGAGTGTCTGTGAGTGTGTGAGGATGAGAGTGAGAGCGAGAGCGAGAGCGAGAGTGAGAGTGAGAGTGAGAATGAAAGTGAGAGTGAGAGTGAAAGTGAGAGTGAAAGTGAGAGTGAGAGTGAAAGTGAGAGTGAAAGTGAGAGTGAGAGTGAGAGTGAGAGAAAGAGTGAAGAAGCGAGGACGACGGAGTGAGAGAAAGTGATGCAGTGACGGGCAGCGGAGGAGTGGTGAAGCCATGGGACCCCACGTGATTTCTATGTCTGCCAACTTTTCTTCGGCGCCTAACAGAGCATAGGTCGTCTTTGAACACTTGTAACAATGTTCAGTTTAGAAGATAAGCGACTTGGGAAAAAACCTGGATTAAAATTCTGGTCGGTCTTCGGATCTGGCCTCATTACCCTACGTCTGCTGTGCGTGGGGACCCTTTATAGGGTCCCGAGTCCCCATGGCCACAAATGCATTTTTCCGGGGAAAAATACGCCGTGAGGCCACAACAAGGCCACAACAGGCCACAAACGTGTGTTTTTGAGGCCACATCAGCCACAAACGTGTGTTTTTGAGGCCACGTCAGGCCACAACAGGCCACAAACGTGTGGTTTTCAGGCCACGTCAGGCCACAACAGGCCACAAACGTGTCGCAACAAAGCAAGACCGTGTGGGTTTGAGGCCACATCAGGCCAACTTGTTTGGTTTCGAGATTGTTTTTTGGGGCTTGATTTTCAGCAAGTCCTAGGAGACCAAGTCGTTCCTGTACTGTACACATGTTTGCCAGTTTACGCGACTCCAAATCTGGGGTCGAAAAATCTAGGCAATTCTGGCTTCGCGTGTGTGGGCCTCCCCTGTGCACGTTTCTTTCATGTTGATCGCTTCCACAAGAAAGCTGCCCTCGGAGGTCGTGGTTCTCAGTAATTGATCTTTCCACGTTAAGTGCTTGTCTGTGGGCCAGAGTCGCCTGAGTGTAGCAGTCTGGAAAGCGCGGGATTGAGCCCAAAAATAGAAGAATTCGCGACCCCAAAACTGGGGTCGCAAACGGCCCCAATTTTGGGGTCGCGGTTTCACGCCTCCAATTCAGTTCCAAATTGTGCTGCGGGAGCTGGTCCATTTCGCGGCACCATTTTTGGGACCGCGAGACGGCCCCATTTTTTGGCACCGAATTTGAGCCTGTGGGCTCAAGCAACCGGATCTCGTTGGCTGCGCACCTGCCCTTGTTCTAGTCACATTGGGCAGCGTCGCGCTGAGCGCACGGGGGCTTGTCCGAAGCAGCTGCACACTCGTCTTTGTAATGCTGCAGTGAGGCAGAACTG